ATCAGACCTGTCCTTTGATTTGGGCCAAAGGAAGGACATATTTGTCGGCCGCATCGGAGGAGTCTTCAGTTTTGGACGTCCTTCGTCGTGGCGCTGTGACTTATGTGGTCGACGAATTCGACCTTCGGAGGACCCGGCCTGCTGTTTTGGACACAGCCCTAGAGTCTCATTCTGGCTTCAGTTCCTGGGTTCTGCTGTCTGACTGCCATTTTTAGTGGACACCATCCCAGATGATCTTATCGACTTTAATATGTGTAGCTACATGTAATTAGCCATCCACATTCCCAAAATCCACTCATCATTAAGAAGTCGGCAACTGGGCACAAGAAATGTGACACGCAATAAGAGAAAATCATACTATATTCTTTTAGACATCTGTTTGTTCCAAAGCAAAGGCAAATAGCACGAATACATTTTAGAGTAAACGTTTGCACTGATATAGCATCTCAAAGTTGAAACGGCTCCATCAGCTCAGCTGCTTCCACTGATATGTGAGGCAATAACACGTGAACAGAACAACAGTGACCAATTTATTTAATGTGACTCTGCAGCCGGCTCACGTGAGATGCGTCTGTGTGCCTCAGCCTCCACATTGCAGGCGCTGTGTGGTAATCACTGAGCTACACACAGCATGCACAATGAGGAGGCCCCAACACACCATTTCATTTCACGACCAGCTAATTAGAAACTTGATAGACTAACTGATTAAAGTGACCTATTAGATCCAGAGAGAGGGCCGGCTGACACAATTTTTCATACAGCTGTGAACCTTGTCTGAAATGTTACATACAGGAGCTCCACAGAAAGAGATGAATTTCCTAATGATTTAATGGAAAGTCATAGGGACCTTTTTTTTGTTATATTGTAATATAATTAAATTGACTTCTGGTAGACTTGCGCACACAGATAGCCTTGTGAAACCCTGGCATTAGACAGGAAACACTTACCCCGGATTTATACTACATGCGTCTCCGCTCCGCTGTGGTGCGCAGGTCGCAGCTGTTCGTTTGTGTCTCAATTTATACAGACTCCGCTCCGGTCTGACAAAGGCTGTAGAGGAAGGAGATCGCACGGTAAATACAGTGTTGTGGAAGTCAGAGCAAAAAACTAATTAATTCTGTGAAAGACGAAATCCAAACACAGCTGAAAACATTGATATGGTTGAAACCGTCTCGCTGCCATCTTTCTGAAACTCCTGCTTTCAAAATAAAATCCATGTGTGTCGTATATGCTTCATGCTACATGTTTCCATCTGCTTCCTAAACAGAACAATACATTCTGACAGCATTTGTGTAGAAATATATCTGTATATTTATTAATATACAGCGGGTAAAATAAGTATTGAACACGTCAACATTTTTCTCAGTAAATATATTACTAGAGGRGCTAATGACATGAAATTTTCACCAGATGTCGGTAACAACCCAAGTGATCCATACATACAAAGAAATCAAACCATAAATGTCCAGAAATGAAGTTATTTMTAATAATGTGGAATGGCACAGGGAAAAAGTATTGAACACATGAAGAAAGGGAGGTGTAAAAAGGCATGGAAAGCCAAGACACCAGCTGAACTCTCTCAGTAATTAGAAAACAAGCCAGCGCCTTGTCAGTGCAAGTTAATAACAGCTGGTTCAGTCCCAAATGATGGCCAGGTATCACACAAGAACCATCTGATGATGGGTAAAAGTAAAGAGCTCTCTCACGACCTTCACAACCTTTCTGTTGCAAAGCATAATGATGGCATCGGTTACAGAAGAATGTCTAAACTTCTGAAGGTTCCAGTGAGCACTGTTGGGGCCATAATTCAGAAGTGGAAAGAACATCATTTCACCATAAACCGATCACGACCAGGTGCTCCTCACAAGATTTCTGATAGAGGAGTGAAAATAATTATCAGAAGAGTTGTCCAAGAGCCAAGGACCACTTGTGGAGAGCTTCAGAAAGACCTGGAATTAGCAGGTACGATTGTTTCAAAGAAAACAATAAGTAATGCACTGAACCACCATGGCCTGTATGCACGCTCACCACGCAAGACTCCACTGCTGAAGAAACAGCATGTTGAAGCTCCTTTAAAGTTTGCTGCACAACATTTAAACAAGCCTGTGTAATACTGGGAGAATATAGTCTGGTCAGATGAGACCAACATTGAACTGTTTGGATGCCAGAATACACATCATGTTTGGAGGTCAAATGGCACTGCACATCAGCCCAAAAACACCATACCAACAGTGAAGTTTGGAGGTGGGAACATCATGGTGTGGGGCTGTTTTTCAGCATATGGTACTGGCAAACTTCAAATAATTGAAGGAAGGATGGGTGGAAAAATGTACAGAGACATTCTTGATAAAAATCTGCTTCCATCTACCAGATGATGAAGATGAAATGTGGCTGGACATTTCAGCAAGACAATGAGCCCAAACACAAAGCCAAGGAAACTCTCAGTTGGTTTCAGAGAAAGAAACTAAAGCTGCTGGAATGGCCCAGCCAATCACCTGACCTGAATCCAACAGAAAATCTATGGAAAGAACTAAAGATCAGAGTTCATAGAAGAGGTCCACGAAACCTTCAAGATTTGAAGACTGTTTGTGTGGAAGAATGGGCCAAAATCACACCTGAGCAATGCATGCCACTAGTTTCTCCATACAGGAGGCGTCTTGAAGCTGTCATTGACAACAAAGGCTTTTGTACAAAGTATTAGATAAATTTCAGGAAGTGTGTTCAATACTTTTTCCCTGTGCCATTCCACATTATTACAAATAACTTCATTTCTGGACATTTATGGTTTGATTTCTTTGTATGTATGGATCACTTGGGTTGTTACCAACATCTGGTGAAAATTTCATGTCAMTAGCACCTCTAGTAATATATTTACTGAGAAAAATGGTGATGTGTTCAATACTTATTTTACCCGCTGTACCTGCAATTTCGACATTATTACGACAAATTATCCCGCCTAAAAGTGTCTTATTTTGAAAATACGGATGTTGTGCTCGTTTCTCTTCCTGTTGGTGCGACATAATCTTTAAAAATTGACTCTGGCGCAGCTCTGGCGTCCGGCAAAAATAGTATCTGTTCTAATCTTGCCTGATCGTCGTCCGCTCACCGCCGCCGTGCGCAGCCAGTGTAAACACACATTGATTACAATGGGTGCATATTTGCTACGGAGGTCGGACCAGAGCAGAGCAAAGCCAGAACGCATGTAGTGTAAATTAGGGGTAAAAGTCATGGTGCAGAAAACTGCAGGAATAAAATGTTTAATAGAAACTACATTCTGTTACTTCTGTCTTTTAGTGATCATCAGACACACACGTTTTCGAAAATTCCTGTTTTTCACCTTCGCAAATTATAATTGCATCAAACTTTGTAACAGGTATGACATTAGGGAGCAAACAAGGAGTATAAAAACTAAGTTAAAGGAATAATTCAGAAAATTTGAAGTGGGGATCATTGGACTATTATTTAGAGGTACTAGAGTTAGCCACACATTTAGAGCAAAGATGGCACCCAAACAGGGCAACAACTCACAGATGACAAAGCAACAATCAGTCATGATCTGAAATCAGTCAGTAAAATAGGATTTAAAGCTAACTGAATAATTATGACTTCTGCTAGTAATAAAGTATAATTATTTTTATTTACCTGTTCTGTTGTTCACCCTTAGAAAATGTTTTCTGCATACTCAGTAATAATTTTAATGATGAAACTCGTTTACTGATATTGGCTAACCATCTTCTCAACAGGTCAGGTTTGGCTAACAGAAACCTAAAAATAGTCATATTATCATTTTACACTGTAAATATTGCTTAAATCAGGCAAAACCAACTTGTAATATTTAATAATTTGTGCTCAATTGTACCATTATTCAGCAGAATGCTACAATGTATGAGATATATATGCTACAGAAGCTAATATCTACTAACCACTTCAATAATGAATAGTGAATACACTGGCTTTATAAGCTTATTTTAACGTTAAACTGTTACATTATTAGCTTCAGTTAGGGTCAGATCACATCCACACTGAGGTAAACAAGAAAAAAAATCTGATAATTTGTGAAATATGACACTTTTTCCTGTTTTCCTTCTTTTGGTACATCCGTAAAACAGACAACTTTCTGACATTTTTATATACATTAAGCAGTTTATATACTCTTTAATCCAGGAGCTCATTGGTAACTCCTATAAATCAGTAATATTTCAGTTGATATTATGTTTAATAGTTTTAAATGTTATATCCAGACACTTGCCGGGTGTGGTTATGCTGAATCAGAACGTCACGAGACCAGGACACACTCCAGCTGTATTAAACTCCTTGTACAAAGATTGTGATGCATTATACCAAATATTTAAAAAGTACACCCCCAACACACACACGTACACACACCAAAAATAATAATTAGAAAATTTTCCTGCTGCAAAGTACTTTTTTTCCCTGAGAAAAGCCATCTGTTTGAAAAAGAAAGCATCTGGTGTTTGAAGTTATTACTGCATCAAGTGCCAAAATTCATAAATTCATAACTTCTCTCATTTTTTGGTAACAAATTATTATATTGGTAAATATGTGGTTTCAAAGATTTAACTATAAAAGTCAACAGTTTTCTATTTAAACTCAAGTAATAAGGCCTTGAATCTTTCACAGTGATTATGACTCAACCATATAGGGAGCAATGGCTCCAAAGATGTGACCTTTTATGCTGTAGTGTGAAAAGCATCTGCATATGGAAGAGAATGTCAATGGGTTTAGGGGAAAAGAAAAGAAACAAAAGTGTGACTAATGCTGGAGAATGTGGTGGATATGAGCATAATATGAGACGTGGCTGAAGTCATTTGAATAAAATTGGGTTCTTTCAGCAAACGTTTTTAAACAAATAAATAATTAGCAAATTTTGGGTAAACTGGTTATTATTCTGTGCGTATTGATTTAAAAACAGTTACAGATGCTGTATATACCGAATACCGTCTATATACAGGGGTCCAGAACAGATTAGAGGCATTTCAGTTCATTTCAATCGGCAAAACTGATTTGACATACAAGTAATTTGAGTTACAAGCTCTGCCACAAAATGACATAAACTCATAATTCAAGGCACTAATGAATGTCCAACTGGTACTTAAGTTATTTTACTAACAGACAGGCAGAATTAAACCAGCTCAATGGTGATCACTCAGAGTATGTTGGGAATAACTCTTAGCTATACAAATTACAGATAGAAGTAGTTAGTGAATTCAAAGTACAGAATTTAGCTCAATAGCTGTAAAAATGAGTATATTGCAGCCATTTTTTGTGTTTGCTGAAGTGACTTACAAGTGGTGACCATCTTAACTATTGTTGATTCTGAAAGTCACATTCAGCGATGACTTTCTGAGAGTTTTATTTAAATCTGTTCACTGTTTTATGAGATATTTTGCTGACGATACAAAAAAACAAACACACAGACATGGGCAAAAACATGATGCAATGATTTTCTGTAATAAAATGACGTTTCTAATTTGGAAACACAAGATTTAAGTGAATATGGCACAGTGGCTCAGTTAGTAGAGAAGTTGTCTCTTAGTAAGAAGGTTGCTGGATTGAATCCTGGCATGAGATCTTTCTGGGTAGACTTGACATGTTCTCTTTTTGCATGTGTGGGTTTTCTCAGATAACGCTGGTTTTCCCTCCCACAGACCAAAACCTTACATTTAGGCTAATCGGTAACTCTAAATTGTCCCTAGGTGTGAGTGAGACAATAGCTGTGTTTTCATCCAATTTGAATTCAAATTTTGAGGGAATTTTTCAAAATTTGCAAAAAGGAAAAAATGAAGAAATGCATATCAGACATGTTTCCATCAACTGGCTTGAAGTGAATCAGTTACGTCAGATGCATGCGTGGAGTAAACAGGAAGTAAAAGTCGCATCTCAGGAAAATGGAGAGAAGTTATCAGGAACGAGTTGCTACTATCAGGAAAGTTGTAATTATTCTGTCATATCAACTAGTTTTGGTGATGTTACTGCTGTCTGGAGATGTAGAGGAAGAAATGCACTTCTCTTCACGTTACGGGAATAAC